AGAGAGAGAGAGAGAGAGAGAGAGAGAGAGAGAGGGGGGGGCATACAATTTGTATACAGAGAGAAGTCACACACGTTACACACACACACAGAAACACGACTGTACATGAAGACACGCTAAATAGTTTGATGTATATAGGTACACAAGTACATGCTAAGTCAAGTAATTGTCAACCGCGGATCATGAGCTATGGCAAATCTTCATGTTCCATTCGGTTTTTCTTTCGCGAATCACGGTCTCAAAGATTCTCCAGATCGCCGGTCCCCCCCGGCACGCCACATCCGAAGTTTTTCGTCATTCAGACGTTTCACTGATTTTCATGTGAAACAACGAGCAATATTGTTTTCAACCGCGCACAGAATCTCGGGCATACGGTAGGTACGTACATTAAACTGAAACGATACGTAAGTTCCTAATATTCGACGTGGGGAATGGTTTCCTTATCATCTTCACGCTTAACAGTGATTACGCGACTTGGACAGTCATCCAGCCGATTCGAGACGCGCTACTCACGACCAAGTATCTCAGCCAAGCAACATCCGCAAAAGGGAAACCATCTCTCCGCGTTCCGTACACGTACGATTCGCTTCAGTGCAATGTATTTGCAATGTCATCTACACGAGCATGCGCGTACGGAAGAAAAAGGCTGATGTTGTATGAACGTTGTATGAAATTAGACGCGTATATGCAAACGCCCGAAGTTGTTTTCTTGCATGGTGTGCCGACAAAACAAGAGAGAGATTTGAGTGAGTGCGAACATCGAAGCGGCCGGCATACGCGAGCCTCATCAGCGTACGCTAGATTGTTAACAAATTTCGTCCATCGCGTTGTTACGTCTCGCGCGTGCCGATTCGCAATTGCCTTCTCGTCAGCTCAGCTTGGTAGTCCGAACATAGCAGTACGAGAAAAAGCGGTCCTCGTTTGTTTGTAAAACGTGCGCGACTCCGTAGAAAATTTTCGCGCGCGCGCTATACGGACCAACGTCACCGACGTTCACACGAAGAAACGAAAAAAGAAAGAGGCGGACGTAAGCGAACACGAAAAACAAAATACTCATGTCACTTAATAATCGGTGTCTTCGACCGGTTGTTGACCGGAATGCCAAGCGTGGCGTTATGGCGTTGATGTTCTTGCATCGTTTGGCGGATGAAAAAATGGCGCACGGCGGGGGCGAGAAATAATTTCATACTTTTACACGGATGCATGTACCTTGGCGCGCGCGTGCGTGTGCGATACCGATGCCGGTGGAGTACCTGGGAAGCTCGGTCAGCGACGGGGGCGGATTTCGAGAGGGAAGGAAGCGCCGATTTATGTTCGTCGGAGGCGATTTAGATGCGGATAATTCGAATCGTGACCGTGCAAGAGAACGACAACCGAAAGAAGTACGCGCGCACTTGGACCAGCGCGCGTATTTCTGTTGTGAAATTGAAATGGGGTGTGGGACGAACACTTCGGGGGGCTACGATTTAACAGATCGATTTAAATGAATGGAAAAGTGGAATCATTGTAAATAGTATAAATAGCGCACGCGCAGACGTAAATTTAAGCGAAGAATAAAAGATGATATAATAGGTATAATGTGAAGAAAATATACATATAAGATATTATATATTATATGCATATACATATGTATACATATATACATATATAGGTATACACATATATATACATATAAACAAGAAGTATATATATAAGATTATTATATATATTTACCGTGATAAGTGATATAAAAGCGGTAACTGGGACTCGCGCAATCTCGTTGTCGTTCGAATAGGCGGCGTCAAGTAATTTGCAGGCGGCCCACGAGGCCCTTTTCTCCACTCAAATTCAGTTCAACGCACGTGCACCTCCGCGAGGAGATGTATCGCGACCGAGTAAGAATTGAATAACTGACCATTCTGTTGTTGTCATCCACGTTCATCCACAGTGCAGCTCTTCCAGAACGTTTTTACGTGCTCGTCGAGTGTAGATAACACGGTTAATAGACGCGTTTGCGAGAGATTCCTAGCTCTTTTAAATTTCCCGCTCTCTTTGTTGGAGCGGTCGGTTGTTCACGAAGTGGTCACGATACAATCTCGACTGGAGTTGCGTTCTTAACTCCTTACGGGACAGAAGTTTGATACTACTCTCGAGCGAATCATTTCTTATTATCGGGTATGTTGATTTTTTCATTTTCTCCTCCTTTTTTTTTATATATATACATATATATACAGGCGTATTTTTTTGTTATTGTTCAAAGAGAGTTTAAATGAAAGTATATCAATTCCATTGTCCTATGAAGAGTTAATCGAATTGGGCTGGCGCGAAGACGTACGATTAAGTTCCTATTACACGATATCTGAACGAGAATTAGTTAGCAATTAACCCGGATTAAACTGATGTATAGCGACAGTTCGAGTGGGCCGCCTCGCGAACGAAACAGCGTTATCAAACCTTTTCTTTTTGTACGGTTAATACTATTATTATTACTATTATTAATATCATTAATATCATTAATATTATTATTATTACGTTTGTAATTGAACGACCGGTCTGCGCGCGTACGGTCTCTTTTTTTCGTAGTTCGAAAAAGGGACACCGTGTTCGCGTTGGTTCGGCGTGTTCGCTATTGACCATCCGGATCAGCACGGACGGGGAGAATCATAGTTAGGCTGGAACGGTTTTCGAGACGAACGAGTCCCATTCGTAATCGCGTGACCTAGGACAGGTGAAAACACACGACACTGTACATTGTAAATAGTAGCGCGGAGAAGACGGTTACAGAAAGACAGATTTAATTAATTAAAAGGAAAAAAAAGGTGACGCGAGGAAAAATGATGTTGCATCGAAATCGCGCCGGGCGCGTGAAGCGAATGCACGTTCCCGAAGGACTTCGTCGATTTTCAGGCGATCGAGACACGTTAGACGAGACTCGGGTATGTCGGTGAGGGCCGAATGCAAAATTCCATCGATGCATTAAAGCCGTTCGCAATAAATTATACACAGAATCATTGGTAGCTGTACTCGCCTAAAATCGATGCGTCCTGATGGGGTACGTTCGCCATACGAGCCGCGTGTGCGGCCATTTTAATAGAGCTAGGAAAATTTTAAGATGCACGGTTGTATCTTCGAACGTGTGCCGATCACTCGACTGTAATTCGTATCCGTGTCACGAGACCACGTCTAAAGAAAACGTATAGTGAAATGAAAAACGGAAGGAAAAAAAAGAAACGTTTCATGGGGAATGCAAACACGAGAAGGCGTAATGTATCGGGGTGGGTTGGTATGGGGTGGGGCGGGACAGCAAAAACAAATAACTAGGGGAATGCGAGCTCGCAATTTTTGTCACTACGCGCGAGTGTTCGCTAATTTATTACGATTGCAAAAGAAAAAAAAGAAAAGCAAAGAAGCACGAATCGCAATTACTCTAGTCCTAAGTGGTCTACGAATATACGGTACACGAGATGAAAGGTTCTCGAGTGATTGGACACGTCGTATTTTCTTTTTCATTCGTTTTAATTTTGTTTCAAAGTTGTGAAGTTGTATCGCATAACGTTTTACCAAAATACCAGCAGCAAAAATCAGCAACAACAGAAAAACAAAAATGGAAATAACAAATGCAGCGCAAAAACGATTAACCTGATGAAAAGTAAAGGAATAACGCACGATATGGACAACAACAACAACAAAAACTATCAAAAACAATAAAGAGTATTATTCTATATATAATAATGGTGTTGTGATATTTTACGATCCCTTTTATTCTCCTGCGCTTTCTAATTATCTTGTGTAAATTGAGAATTAGTCGGTACAAAACGAATTATTAATTTCTAATACCTTGCTCCTGATAGTTTTGTTAAGTTAATAAGTTACTTTATTTAAAAAATTAAATTTTACTTCAGTATACAGTCTATTATTAAATCAATTCAAACATTTGTTTTATACACTTCTTTCCATACTTGAATTAATCATATTTCACCTGTAACTGAAGATAACATACACAATGGTAATCTGAATAATTTGATAATAAAATTTAAATATTTGTTTTATTTAAATAATTGCAGAAATAGTTTTCCACATTAAATTAGTCATTTAATTAGCTAATAAGGTATAATATAGCAAAATATATATAGTGCATTTGGCAGTATGGTTCACATTAAAAAATTCACTTATTGCTAAGCTTTTATATGTTCTTGAACTACAAGATCACTGTATATCCTTTTTTCTTGTAAAAACTTCATCACATTGTTCGCGTTTTAAAATTTTTGTACGATGCGTTTTTGTATGCTTCAACATATCGTTCTTTTGCGAAAATTTTCTGCCGCAAGTTTCGCAGGCAAATGGCTTCTCGCCAGTATGGATTCTTACGTGAACAGCTAATGCCCCCTTACGTGTAAAACTTTTACTACAATATGAACATCTATGAGGTTTAATGGCCAAATGAATTTTCATATGTTGATTAAGGTTGCTGGAACATTTATATTCCATTTTACATATTTTACAAACATACGGACGTTCTCCAGTGTGTGTCCTTTCATGTATAAGTCGCGCCTCTTTAGAAACAAACGATTCCCCGCAATACTGACACATATGTGCTTTTTCTTTAGAATGCATCGATTTTTTATGATAAACTAAAGAATTCTTACTTGCTAATTGTTTACCACAAATATCACATTCAACGTTCACCTTTTGTGCTTTATGTATAAGTTCATGATTTAAGAAAACTGTTCGCGTTGTAAATATCTGGTTGCAAATTTTACATTGCCATCTCATACCATCAGTAGATTTCTTCTTTATACTTTCCAGAATATCCTCTTCTGTATGTTTTTTCCTATGTAATTTCAATTCACTCATTGATTTACATTTACAAGCACAGACCTAGGGGAAATAAAACAATTATATATTACCTTTGTCATCAATGAAATGTTTTCAGTAGTGTACTTACACTACATGTGTATGTGCCACTTTCATTATTATGCCTTTTAAGGTGTGTACTCATATTCCCTTTACGGTTAAATGATGCTCCACATATTGGACAAATGTGTTTATTCATACCATGAGACAATTTGTGTTGTCTTAATTGTATTCTTTTATAAAAAGCTTTTCCACATTTTTCACAACAGTAAGGTTTTTGTCCATTATGTTGATTCATATGTTCTCCCAAATGAAATCTACATTGTAGATGTAACAATAAGCTGAATAATGAAAAATAAATAATTCATTTTGAAAATTAAGCAATACTCATAAGCGTACAAACTCTACCTAGATCTAAATGCATTTCCACAAATTTCACAGATATACCGTTTTTTCTTTGAATCATCTAAATGAATCCTTTTGTGGCCTCTTAAATTATTGGAGTGTTTAAAACTCTTTCCACAGAGATCACACAAGTAAGGTTTATCTACCCTGTGAGTAGCTTCATGAACATCTAAGCTAGACCATTTTTCATAATTTTTATTACAAATAATACATGCAAATAACAATTGACCTTTATGAAATTCTGTGATGTGATTTAATAATTCTTTTTTAGTATTGTAAATGGACTGACAATGACCACATTTTTTATTCGTTTGCATTATTGTAACAATATTTACATTGTCAGGATTTTCATAAATATTGTAGTCGTTTTCAGTTGTATTTGATTTGCCTGCGATTTTGTAATGTTCTTCCAGAAAAGGTTTACAATTTGAAGACCTATGCTCAGCAAAATGTTTTTCATTGTCAAAACATTTATGACAAATATTGCAGCTTTTTATATCAAACTGAAAGTTAATTACTTCCTCTTCTGATTTATTACCGATCACATTATTAGTAATTTCTTTTTGTTTCTGTATTGTAATTTCCTCTTTATCACATAACATTTTGTGATTTTCAAATATTTCGTGAGCTTTAAATGAATTTTTGCAATGAAAACATGTAATTTCATTGATGCCACTTGTTATTTCATTTTGTTCAGTTTTATCCGTTGAAATATCTTCATTTTTCTCACTAAATGATTCAATAAGTATGTTTAATTCAGATTGCATTTCTTTTTTCACATTGTTTGAGCAATTAGCTTTCTCAGAATCAATATTCTGTAAGTAATTCAATTTTTTAGATATATCCTGACTATCTTGATTTATTATTATTGCTTCTTCTTTATTAGACGATAGTTCCATAGACGTAATTTGAGCTGCTCCATTTGCATACATTTCTTCTGCTAATTGTAAAGAACACTTCTTTACTATTTCATTATATTTATTGTCATAACTTAACTGCAACACAATATATTAAAATATAAAGTTGTTTAGTTATATTCTCAGTATAACACAAAAATGTACATACTTCTTCATTGATATTTAAAAATTTCTTCAATCTCATATCAGTTTTTAAAGAAGTAATGACTAATAAATGTGCTAGTTCCAGTTTATTATAACAATTAGTACATAATTTCTGTGGCATTAAGTCTTCCACATTAAGAATTATTGGTAGATGTAAATTCATTTTCTCTTTTAATTTCAATTCTATACCTTTATCAGTGAATATCTCTAAACCATCCAAAGATTGTTCTCCACAAATTCTACATAAATTTGACAATCTAATACTAATATCACGATACTGATCTATCTCAGCATCTATATCACAATACGATAGTACTACATTGTCTGTTCCTTCTATTTGTTCATTTCTAGTAACTATATTTTGAGCATTCTTTTCTGCTAGAACATTTGGTCCAAACAATGTAGGAATAGCATGTTGGTCTATTAGAATAGGATCAGTTTTATTTATATAATAATGGTCTTCAATATGATGAGAACATATATAATAATTTAAATGTAATTCTTCATTAGATTTTGTTATAAGGTCTGTTCTGCCACAATGGTGAGCCCATACTTTAGACCTGAAAGAAATTAATTGTTTACACTTATATAAATAATATTTTATACATTTTAACAATTTGAAAAAAGATAAGTAAAGATAATTGTAGATATTTCACATATAAAAATTTGAAAAAAATATTTAGATTATAAATCGTCAATTCTTGTGATCAAATATCGAAATAAGACACCGTACGTAAATAAATAGATATGAATATTTGATAAAGACTTACGTATCGCTGTTCGGAAAATTAATAAAAATTACATGTGACGAATCTTCAGCATTTAACGAGTATTTACAATTTCTTGCAGCACAAACTATACTCATTTTGTAAATATTTTAATTCATTAATAAAACTTCTTTCGGTGTTTATTGCGTACTATTTAAATAGAGCGCAACTCATGTCAAAATTATTGCCAAACTGTACAATTGTCTAACGTAAACTTTGATCATACACTAACTCGAACTTTTGTGTTTATTATTGTAATAATAACATGATATATGATTTTGACAAAGATAACAAAATACGTAAAAATGAGATTATAAAACAATTTCAATAATGTGCATTTATATTTACACCAAAAAATATAAATCATGAAGTAACTGTAATATTTAAAAATGTGTTAATTCATCTGCTAGCCTACAGTAATTAACTGGTGAAGATCAATCTATAAATTGTATTTATTTAAAAATTTCGTACGTTTGCTTGGATAATTAAAAATATATTTTATGTTACATCCGGTTTTATATGCTCAACTTGAGGTCACCAAAGTCACGGGCTTAAAATTAACACAGATGTTTCATACAACGACATTTTCCGTTGACGATTCTAAATTACCGGCAGTTTCAATAATGTTCTGTAGGAGATGTTAGATTTCATTGTTATTATTTGCCAATAACTATTTGTTACCGACGAGCGATCCTGTTCTTCTTTATTGATGAAAGCGTCCTCTTCATATAGAAAGAGTTAATTAAAGCATTGAAGCATCGTCCAGTGCTACCCCTCCTCGGTGTCCTCGTTAGTTGTTCAGTAGTGCACTATGGATTTTTGATGGTATTGTCATTGACGAGGTATAAAGATAAATATTAGATGTAATGTAAAATTTTGTCACACGCTCTCAGGAGTCCTAAGACCCCTTTACTATTTTCGTGCCACGTTCTGAAAATAATTATCTTTTAGAATGTTTCAGGAAATATAAATCATTTATATTTAAAACCATGTATTAATAACTTTAACTCGTTAATATATGTACTTATTGTATGATATAAATTCATAAAATACTAATATTTAGTTATGCACGTTTGGAGTTTGAAGACATGGCAACATTGTAACGGATAAATGTTTAACACATTTACTACTTGATCAATTTCGATCATTCTGCTTGATGTAGTTTTCCTATTGACTGTTCTCTAGGCGTAGAGAGCAGAGCAAAACCTTTGATTTTTACTACAGCCGGTAATTCAGAACATGCTACACCGAGTACCATAAGTTACCAATATGTATCTTACACTTCGCGTGGGCGGAAAGTAAATATGATAACCGAACTCTAGATTATATATGTTTAATATGCATATAAATACCTTGAAACCAGGATGTGACGTCACTCAAGGAAGAAATAGTGTAGGAAATTCATTTTAAAAGTTGTACAAGGAAAGTTCCAAGGAAAATTGCGAAAAAACTTACCGGACAATCTAACAAATACAAATAATTAATGAAAATATAATTTTTTATCAAAATAAATATTTTATTTTATTACTTGTAAATTTTTATTTCACATTATTAATTTTGATTAGTGAAGACTGTATATTTATAATTTGAAATTATAATTTCGAAATATGGAGTATGGATAAATTTATGAATTGAAAATTGGATAAGGAATGTAAACATGTTTGAAATGAACAGGGAAATTAGAACATGAAAAAGCCACCTGGTTTACAAAATCTCTTTTTTATTGATGCTTCGACAACATGGGCTGAGACACACACATTTGCTCATATGAATTTATACCACTGCGTGTTCCAACATATACATACACAACTCGTTAAATTATTGCATCGCGTGGCACTAGATCGAAGAAATAGATTTACCTCGAATCGTCAAGTGTTCTCAGATATGGCGACCGATAAAACGTAGGACGACAATTCAAGTTACAGAGAAACTCTTGGAAATCCCATAAATCTCTTTTGTATAAACACTATCGTACGCAACACGTTTAAGTAGTTCTCTTAAACAATTGTACAATAATCGTCTACATTGTAGAAACACGTAACACTTACAATATACGATTTCACAAAGAAAGTAAAAACGAAAGGAAAGTTAATGACTTGGGAAAAATGATTCGTGGGAACGGAATTCGTTTAACAGAAGTTATAAACGAAAGACGGTGACTGAAACGATCCATTCTGTCGTTAACAATCGAAAAATCTAAAGATTACTATTACTTACGTAGACCTTACGTAAATGCGAAAGATATGTTTTAAGTTTCCTTCCCAAAAACATTCTTTCTCCGAGACAATTTCAAACTTAAGCGCACGATGGTAAGCGTTTTCGATGCCACGGTCCTCTAATAAAACAATGATCAGTGCGCATTCGCGTGATATTTTCGAATCCGATAAGCTCCTTCGCTGGAATTAATCGTCGACCTACACGAATAATAATTACCCGAGGTGAGACAGATAGACAGATAGAGAGATAGAGATAGAGAGAGAGAGAGAGAGAGAGAGAGAGAGAAAAATAGAGAGACAGACAGAGAGAAAGGGAGAGAAAAATAGAGAGACAGAGAAAGAGAGAGAGAGAAAAAGAGAGAGAGCCAGACAGAGAGAAAGTGTGACAGACCAAAAGAGAAAGAGAGCGACAGAACAATCTCAAATGTCTTCGACGAAAGTCGTCTTACATCAATAGACTCGTGCTCGTCTTTGTTTCCCCACTTTTCCCAGTAGCATTGAAATGTGAAAAAAGAAATTCGTTTTTTCCCCTTTTCGGCCATTCTATTATGCATACATACATGCATACACACACTTACATATATGTATATACATATATATTCGAGGAGACTCACGTGGGTCGCAAGAATAGGTTGACAGGATAGACTCTTCTAATAGACTTTGCAGACGGACATAATAGAAATATTTAATATATAGCATCATATATTAATATAATATTCAGTAATAATATAATATCTATTATATATTAATATGTATGATATTTTTTTTTGTTTTATCGTTTTCAATATAGCGTTCTTTTCCCATCTTCCCGTTTACCCCCATTCCTTATATTCTCGATTCTTCCGTCCAAGGTTGTGATATCCAGCGATTCGATTTCTCCTCGTTCCGGATTTGAAAAAACGCATGTCAGCCGTGTCTCTTATTTCTTCGTTACTCCTATTTTTTATTTTCTTTTTCTTTTTTTGCTCCTTTTGGTCGTTTTGCAACGTACGCGCTGATCGCGAAAACAATTTCTTCCGGTTTCCGGATACTTTGCGAGACGAAATGGACAGGCTCGACGTTCGATGCTTCGTCTGCCCTTTTCCATGAACTTAACGTTGTCGTTGGAAAAATTGAATTGCGGTTCATTTTAATTCCGAGACAAACGAGGTCTGTAAATTGTCTTTAGAGTCGTTCAACCCTTGTGTACCGTTACACTACAGTTATTGCGTTAGTAAACTTTTGGGTAATACTTACGAGAAGTTCAAGATGAATTTTTAATACATTTTTGGTAGTAGGACTTTTTTAATGCAGTTTCTAATATGAAAATTTACTGAAAGCAAAAGTTTCGTTTCGGATCAGATCGACCCTGAACGGTGCACAAGAGTTAAGGTCTGCTCTAAGGGTAGTTATGCACGAATAAATGGCTTTGTCAGGTTGATTCGCAATTATAGCGTATCTTTTAAGACAACGAGCATGTGATATTATCTTTGGAAGAAAATATCTAATCGAGTAAAATATTTGTTATTGTAATTATTATTATTGTAAAATTTATTTACACACACATTTAAGGTAAATAATAATGTCGTATAAAGTGTGGTGGGCAGAACCTTTTAGGAAATATAAATAGAAAGAGTGGAAGAATAGTCGATTAAAAGATATTCAATTTCTTGAACGAATGAAATGGTGAACTAGTAAAATGGTAAATATATTATTTTTAATATCGGTGTAATTTTGATTACAGACGTTCCGCTTGTCCGATTAAATATTTTCTTACAAGTGATAATACACGAAGACATATAATTCACAGTTTTATTTTCAATTATCGTTTGATTGAAACAACCTGACACGCATCCTGAACTTAAGGTAGAATAAACATAATACTTTACAGTGCCACGACGCGTCAGTACGATTAAAATACTCCGAGAAGATTGCCTTACTTTAAGTTTGTTAAAATCAATCGTAATGTACAATGGTCTGATGAGAAGTTTGAAACGAGAAATGAAAATTCTTACACGCTGTCACGCAGTAACAGCAAACATCGTTCAGGAACCTTATATCCAGTGGTGATGGGAATACAATTAATAAAACGTCGGGACAAGTGCATTCTCTATGCGCAAAGAAACTGGCCGCTGGTCGTTGAAGAAAAATTAATTAATCGCTCGCAGAAATTTTTCTTACTGTTTCTATAGGATTTTCTTCAATACTAAGTTTCACATTACTCTAGAGTTATGTATTTTCATAGAGTTCGTACCTCTTACTAAATAATCGAATTGTTTGTAACAATGGTATTATTAAACCGAGATTAAATTGGGAACATTTATAATTTCCTTCCAATCTTGTTATTCAGGCACGCCTCATATTTTTGACAAATGCATAAAATCATTATAAGTGGGTACATCATTATGCCCTCTAAAACTGATGATTATATAATCAAATTATCATTAAAACGTTGTTAAATTTGCTAACTTTAGTGCCTTTTTCGCTAAACGAGAAAGAAACAAACAGCTAAACTTAGAAATATTATTCTTCTCCCATAAACAATTGGTCTTCACAGTAAACGTAAAGATGAAACAAGAAAGCAACTTCTCTTTATAAATGAGTTATCAAGCTACAAATTTATTAATTGTACTATGTGTAGCAAGCATAAACAGTGTAACGCCTTGAGCGATCAATCTACTTTAATTCAATCGCAGTTGGGACAGAACGTTGAATGTTGCGTCGCGTCGCGTGTTCGTTGAAGAAAGTGCGACACAGCGGGGCCGCGCAAACTGAAACTCGTTGTGTAAATTTACATGTGTACAAAGCTCGTAGAGTCGCACGGAGGTCGATTAACAACACGTTGCGGGTGAATTGTGCAAAGTGAAACGGTGTACCGGCGAAAGGAAGTAAGTAAGTAGGTGGTAGCCCTCGAGGCAGGCTAAAATACATCCGCGCCGGGATACATACGCCTCTTATATATCGCTAGACTTCACGTGTAATCGTTTATATTTATATAATTGTACTTTCTACGTAACTACCATTCACCTTTGATATTTGTGTTTCATTTATATAATTTCAAGAAAATAACATTCGTACAAAATTGACTACAGCCGATTGCTTTTCTGATGTGTTCGGTTCGATTCGATTCGATACGGTCCGGTTCTCGCCCGGTGAAATCATTTCTCGACGCAAACGGAGAAATTAAAGTGTACCACACTCCTTTCTTTATCCCCCAATTCGTTCATTATACGCTTCTGTCCTTCCGCTTTCCTCGTATTCCTTACGATATGACGTGTATACGTATTGACCACGCTGATCGATTCCGATCGGCTCTCTCCTTCTCTTTAATCCTCCCGGCATGAATTTCAGTTATTTTTTTTATCAAATAATGTAAACCAAATAATGTCACTAAAATATATTACCCCTTTGCACACGTATATCATGTCGAAGATTACAATACGAATTTGTTATAGAACGTTGGAAATTGTTTGAAAAAGTACCGCACTTTAAAGGATTATAAAAATTAAATCTTATTATAATAATATATAAAGTGAATATGAAACGTTGAATTCTACGGCTGTAGATTACTACAATAAAAATAAAATACAAGTTTACACCCAACAACATTGAAAATAAATCGAGTGCAAAAAGTTAAAACATCGACTGGTAAACAAGATAAAGTAATATCTTATTCCGAATTGAATTGGAGTTAAGATAAAATTGTCAATACTCATGTAACGTTTCCGCAAAGCTAATTTGTACTTGCATTAATATGATACAAATTTAATGGTGCAAATATTTTAGTGTTAATATGATAGAAATTTAACATTGCAAATTTAACAGTGCTAAATGAAAAGAATTCTTAGTAATTTCTTTTTCATTTCACCGTGTACCAGTGCCAATAATCATTCAAATAACGTTGCCGGAAGGGTTAACACGTGTACTAGATCCGTTTCCTCAGGGTTGCTTGAAAAAGTCCTATCAAGTTAAGAAAATATGCGGGGATATCTCCGTATTAAGTCGCTAAATTCCTTTATACAGATATTTAACCATTAAGAACGTGCGGCTCGTGCTTCTTAAGCGGAAACGTTGAGGAGCGTACGCTGCCAATTGTGGAAGTACAATTACGAAGCATAGTGGTTTTCTCGTGAACACGAACGCGCGGGGTTCTCCCTGCACGCACGCCAACAATCCTCCTCGTCCCGCGTGCCTACCCGTTTAGACGCAAAAGCGACGCGAATTTCGAATAATCCGTGCGCAGAGACGGCACCTTCGATATTCATTGCTTAGCCACCGTTTTTTGCTGTTTGAAAAATATTCATCAATAACTGTCGTAGATAACGATGATCAAACTTCCTTTAGACAAGTATTCCCATTCAAAATTGTAACTAAATGGTTGTACTTTTAGAAGGTACAGTTGAACAAGAGATTCGAGGTTGAGTTAATCAAATCAGTACTCATTAAGTTATTCGTACGATTAAAGCAATTTTCTTAACGGAACAGAAATTGGAAAGTCAAGATCTTTCCTAGTGATTATTTTCTTAGTCTTCTTGCATATCACTGATCCAACAAAATTCGATTTGCTATATTATTGAGAAAATTCACTTTTAAATCTGCACAAAAAGTTATATCACCCAAATTCGATTGACGCGTCGGTCAAAGTAATATTCGATTAATTTAATATACGATTTCATTCCGCTAATCATCCATACGCGAAAGATTTGACGTTGATCAAACACAATGGTTCCTCATTGAAACAATTTTTGCTTAATTGGAATTTGTTAGGCAGATTTTGTTCCAGCGATTCAGTTTAATCGATTTAAATCTATTTCGATGGAGTTTATTAATTGAATTGGAATGAGAGAATATGCATTAATTGAATTTGATTGTTTTATGTTTCGGTTTTGGAAAGAAAATGCTTGTATTTTAATTTTACAAACGGGAATACCACCTCGAGACACTGCGCCAGGTAAACAAAATGGCGGCGTCAATGAACGCGTTTTTGAAGGGAAGATGCTATCTCCGCGCATAGCGTTTTAACTTCATCACGGGGATTCCACCTATTTGCATCGTCGATGATGTCGATTGCTTTTGGTCCTTCTTGTACCTTTCGTAATTGATTTAATTTCACTCGCTCGACTATTATACCTCTCTATCGAGCGTCCGAGGCCTCCGCTCGAACGTGCGAAAATTATACGGCGCTACGTATGCTATTCAGAATGGTCCACGATCAAGTGTTACAAGCAGTTTCTTTACAAACAGCCAAAGAAGCTTTCTAATTGATATTTCCAGAAAATTCTTTTTTCGTTATTTCAGGCCTTTCGTGTCACAGAAGGGACATCGCGGGATATACATTCTCAAAACGAAAAGTTCACCTTCTCTCTTTAAATTATACGTAAACGCTGAGATGTACAGCTTCAAGAACATAAGAAAACAATGTGTAAAAGTGACCGATTACATATGTAGTAGCAAACACAAAATTAGATGAATTAATCAGAATTGCAAAACTGTCTATTTATCCAATAAAAAGAAATGTCTGAAACGCGTGGAAGGTAATCTCATCAAGTATTACAAAAAGCTAGATCAAATTCCAAAACAAAGAAGGAAGCGTTCAGTTGCTACTTTTACTGTTCCCACAAAGGAACAGCCTGCAACTCTTTGACTAGATCAGCCGGCAGGTACAGCGAAGCTGTACGCGGAACGCATACGTAGCTCGATGCAGCTACCGCAGAGAACGGTGGGAAACCCTTGGCAGACATCGGATTCAGCCTGGGGTGGCGCGTCGAAGTGGCTGAAAATGTTTTTAAGGTAGCCCGAAAGGGAATCGGCACGAGTGCACCGTTCGGCCGCGCATCCCCTTTTACTCTTGGCGGGATCGAAGCCGACAATGGCTCGTGATCGAAGCTTTCGCGCGACGTCCGGTCGGAGGGCGTAATAAAAATTGACGCGGAGGGGTTGTGCACTTTCTACCATACTTTAATCTTATTAGGCCGAGGGGCGGTCTCTTCGAGGCGCGCCCCGTCGAGTTCTTAATCCGGCCGGAGACAGTCGTGGCTGACTAGACACGTTCCTCACGTAACAACTTCCGTCCGACGCGCGGGAACTCGGCAACGAAATTCCCATTGGAAAGTTTTCGACGCGAACGGAGTGGGCCAACAAAAACGAAAAGGTGATTAAACCGGAGCACAGAGTAAGAAGAAAAGAAAGTGACGATAATCTGTGGATGTCAAGCAGCGGAACGTTCTCGTATCTTTGTTCATTCATGTACTCGGATTTGATTCCCAATGCGACCGCATTGGACATACGACCGGAAGTTGCCACAGAATGGATATGCGTCGCGAGGCGACTGATAGATCTCCACACCGCGATTACCTTTCGATTTAATATTTACAGTTATAAGCTGTCGTCACTAATTCAACCGTTGTTGACATAGTCTTACAGTTTCTTCTTCCCATCTTCCTTTTTCTTTTTTCGTTTCCTTTTCTCTCTTTTTTTCCTCTGTTTTTCTTCCTCTTCTTTCTTTCATTAAGATTTATTACATTCTCTTCAGGAGAATTTCGTCGTTGATGAGTCTGTACAAAAAGGGTGATGATCCGTGTATAAATCGCACGTCGATACGGTCGGATTAGCGTTCAAGGTGTCCTGCAGATGATGCCGTCCGCCTTGAACGCCGCTGCATCGTCGCCGCTTTTGTCCTCGGCTTCGCCGAGCGAATTTTCATCGTGATGTATTTTCATATCCTAGTAATGGCCCGAGCGGACCTAACCACCTAGTGTCGGACGGTACTGGTGTCTTTCAGGGGATGCACGAGTGTGTGTTGGTGGCCTGCGCCGGTGACGACAGTGCCACGGAGAAGTCCGAGTCGAGTACCAGGTCGCTGATGCACCCAACGATGCCTTTCGTGTATCTGCCTCCCGTTGTCCTCACGATGTCTGGTGCACCGCCTGTTAACACATGGGAATTACCCAGTTTATTCAGTTTACAGTGTAAAATTGGCAATCACTTAATCACCTAAGTTTGAAGATAAAATAATAATGGAAAATTCTCTTTTAACATATGGAGATTGCACGGTTTATTCAATTTTCATTTTAAAATGGTAACTAATTAATCGCCAAAACTTCAAGTCACAAAAACTAATAGTTTGTCTAGGATAAAATAATAATGGACAATTTTCTTTTCAAACATTGACTGTCACTGAATGATCAATGTATAAAATGCTGAAGGTTCTCGTGTTAAGAATTATACATTCAATTACAATGATTTATTCAAATGTTATTTAATCTTATCGTCTTTCAAACCTTTTAAATATAATTCTAATGATATTCAGTAGATAAATAATATTGTTCTTATGTACAGATAATAAGCAATACTAACTATGTAAATTTTATTATATTGAAACAATTTCAAGTTGTGGAATCAACAAATAAACATATTTCATACGGATTCAAAGTTATAAGAACGAAAAAATCAGGCTGGGTGTATGCGGGGCGTTTCAAGAAGTAAAGTGTAGTGAGTTAAAATTTACATCCATAAGTTTATGAGACTTTAATAATAAATCAAATCCTTCCTTAGCGTGTTGAACAACTTATTGTTAGAAGTTTCTTTGAATTTGTGATCTGAGGTGAATATGCGAGGACGACCCACTTCGTAATTTCGGTAATAATTCAAAGAGGACTAAACACGGGTGTACAGGTTGGTTCAGGTGCAAGTTGCCGGCAGTTCATCAACGGTAGTTACGTTCCTACGTAGAAATACGGTTTCGTAGAAGTTACCGAAGACGTGAATTGCTAAGCATTTTTGCTTAAAACGACATTTACATGTTTTGAAAAACGTACATAAACACGCGCTATCATATTAACCCGTCAGCTGTGAAATTCAGTTTCAAAAATCTCTTATTGCGCGCGCAATAAAATCAAATAATGAAGTGCATACTCGTCAAATGCAGTTAACTGGTTAATTCACATTCGTATTATGTTTCTAAGTATTTCTATAATGTATACATAAATTACGATAATAAACATTATATTATATAATGTTGCAACGAAAAGTTTATATTTCATTTTTACTCCAATAAAATCGGAAGCAATAACAAATACATTCATACCGTCTTCTTCTGTAAACACAATAAATTCATACTTCCTTTAATCCCTTGATCAGACTATAAACGTTTTTTATCGGTCATAATGTAGAGATGTTTTCAAGTATTTGTCATTTAATTGAATAAACTGTAGTAATTCGATTTTCTTGGAGGTCACCGGCGACCCCTATGGCATTCACCGTATTAATATACAATTCCATAATGGCGGTTCACTCACCAACATAAAGACCCGTGTCAGTGTTCAACTGCCTGAGCTGTCCGGGCGATGACGCGGAAACGCCAGTGCCGCTGTCAACGACCAGCGAGGCCCACTGTTCGTTCCTGGGGAAAAAACATCAGTCAACTTCAGAATACGCGTAACTCGATTAAAAAATATTCCCGTCGCTCTGAAACTTTCCCAATGTGGTCGCTAGTTTGAAATTCTCTCGGACGCGGTTAGGTGTACCTGACTGCCCGGACACGGTGCCATAGATCATCGTCCAGTCTCGTTAAATTGTATCGCAGAACCGCTTCGCCGGAGCCAAGATTGTACGCTAGAGTCAGATAACCGCGATCCAAGCCGAGGGCAAGAAAATCGTCGTTTTCGTCCCTTTGTTCCTGCGGATCCGCCTGGCGACCACTCCACAGCAGCAAACCGCTACTGCTGCTTGCCCGGAATCTCATATTGATGTCCACTCTGTAACTGATTATCCTGAAAGAACAGATTTCTACGATGAACTAGCCTGGAGAAAATTTTATTTGCTTGTTATATTATTTTTGTATATTTCTGTGTATTATTGCATGTTATTGTATGTTGTTATATGTTATTGTATATTGTTGTATATTGCTACACATTTTTATACATTATTCTATATTGTATATTGTTGCACATTGTTGTATATTGTTGTATATTATTGTATATTGTTGTACATTATTGTATATTATTGTATATTATTGTATATTATTGTATATCATTGTACGTTATTATTATATTATTATTATATGTGGGATGAATGGTTCGTTGTGCGTGCGTGCGGGTGACCGGGTCATATTGCGACGGACCGGCGCCGTTATGTTTGGGAAATAGTGTGACTGCGTTTGAAAAATCTTGAGTGGCTGAAAGAATGCTAGAAAGAGTTTCTGGAACCGAGCAATTGAACCGTGAGAAAAGCGTGTACGTGAGTTCATGAATTTTAGCTATGAACGAAAGATGCAAGTGAGAAGGGTGCAAGTGTAAGAAAGACAGAGCGAATGGGGGTGTGTTTTAAAAGCAAGTGGGAATGTGTGGGCGCGAGACATTTGGTGCGATACATTCAGTGCAAGACATTTTGGGCGAGACTTGTGTGCGATACTTTGGAGTGATCAGCGAGCGAGCGTTTAGAGATCAGTACAAATATATTTAATATTATATCACAGCGGAAGTGTTATTAGTGAACTTATCTCCCCGCTCCGAAAGAATTCTACTGTCGAAACGCGTTTAGGAACATATCCTACAAATATTGGGACTCGTGAGGAACAATTTCCTACAATATTGAGGGCTCGTCCGGGATAATTTTCTACATGTATAATTTTGTTTCTTTTTTGTAATCTTATGTGTATTCTATTTAAATCTAAAAAAGAACAATCTAAACTCTCCCAAAACAAATATAAAAGAACAAATAACTTCCCGTTGGTTAATAATTTCTACAAATAACAGTACAAAAAAGAAAAAAAAACATAAAACGGAAAGTAGAACAAAAAGGGGTAAAAGATATCAAAGTTCCAACCAACCGGATAGTATCGCGGATATGAACACGAAATCATATTTACTAAATACAAATTCCTCAAAAATTGACTCGAAATCAATGCAGCCGCGCTTCTTCAATGGAAGCAGTTCTGGAAATTATAATTCGCATGCGAGACGCAGTATGGACAATATTTTGAATATTTCGATGGCCGTTTCATACATTGGTAATTCACCTTGTGCTTCAATCTCGGAAAACTTCATTCGGGAGGTTAATAAAAAAAAAAATATGCCATCGACGATTTATCGATGGTATATATCTGGTCTACCGGAAAATTATGTCCGTTTACAAATAAAAAGAACAATCTACGTTTATTAATATTTATCGACCAATACAATTTCCAACGTTAATACTAATGCCTTGTTCTCAGCGGGATGGTAACTTGTGAATTCCATTTCCGTAGAATCACTCATATTTGGAAACTCGAGATCGAATTATCGGACAGAACTCTCTGGTGAATCTAGTATTTTTGAAGCTAAAATAAAATACCTTTTCATCGTGTCGGCGTCGTTGTAATGTAGATAACTCTCGCTGCCGGAAAAGCTCGGCACGGATCTCTCGTAGCGCGTGCCGACGTTTGACTTCGCTGGTGAAGCGCCGAGGATCGTGTTGTCGTCTGGCGCCGGACACGGGTGCGGCATGCCCGGCCGACAACGACAGGTGAAACGGTCCCGAAGAGGACGGCACTCCGCGTCTCCGCAAGGCCTCGCCTCGCACGCGTGTCCGCAGTTTCCGACGTTCACCCCGCCTAGCGCTTCAGCCAGAATTCCGATCTGTGTAGAGGGAAAATAATTTTAACTCTTTGAACGCTATGGACGCATATATATGTCTGACAAAAGTCATCGTTGTGGAGTATGCATGGGCATATGTGTTTTTCGATCTCTTTAATATTATAATAATATAGCATAATAATATAACAGAATTATAATAAGCTGACAATTCTAAATGTCATTTACATTTTCTGGATATAAATTACATATATTAATTTTCCATTGTTAATCGTTAATTTGTTTGAGTGAATATATATGTATATAGAATAAGTATCAAATTCTTCTCTTTTCTTAATGAATTATTAATGACAAAAATGTTTCGGTGCGGTTGCGAAAGCAATCGTAGGACAATAGGTTAGTCGAAAACGTAGTTTCGTAAATTATAAATTAATTTTCATTTTATTGAAATCTTCGTTATAATTTTGTTAAACTGTCACTTTGTTCTTATCGAAGGAAGAAAAATCGTAAAAGAAATCTATACACTTTTGACAAGACTCTATCATAGTGCAGTACTAATTGTTTCATGAATTCATCGATACAGTTGTAAAATACGATTACACTTTTCTTTTAAAATGAAACTCCATGTTTGTTTTACATAAATAATTTCTATCATTTCACGTAAAACAGAAAACCGTGTATTTCTCCAGTTATTTTACTTGAAACATTCACTGAAACAAAGAATAAATAAGGTATTGTAATTCGTTTTACGTTAATTACGTACGTCACTGAGGCATTGCAAATAGATGCCTGATATTCTTCGACTCATTAATCCAACAGAATATCTTCATTTATCAAGTAAGTACAATTCCCATTCGAATCTCACGATGAACACCCATCTCTTACAGCTCATTGAAAAAACAGCATCAAAACTGTCGATCAATAATGCGCAAATAGAACCCTCGCACTCGGCGAACACCCACGAACACACCGATTACTTCGCCACGATTTCCTATCGCACCAGGAACGTATACGTTTCCGGGATCGATCGTCGGAATTACCATCGAACTGCAGTTGGTCCGCTTTAATCACCGCTTTTCAACGGAAAACAGTGATCAATTCTAGATAATTAGCCGTTTCCAGGAATTCCGGGCGCAAGACTGTTTGCGAATTCCTCTCAGACGGAGCGCAGTTCCACGTTTCGCGCGTCTGTGAATTTCTAAGTGGACGATAGTTCTTCCGCGGCGCAGCAAAGCAAGAATGCAAGTCGACAATTTTTCGTGCAATAAAGTGATCTAAATACAGATACATACACGAACCTACACTTGGATGGCCTGATAAAACGCATGAAGAAAAGAGTATCGACGGACTGGGAAACAGAGTGGAATAATACAGCCCTCTCCACACATTAGAATCTCATTAGACAATTTATTTTCATGTACCGTCCGTTGCACCGAACCTGGCACTTTCGTCTGAGTGGTCAGAGTCTAAGGCACACGCCTGATTGGCTGAGGCGCTAACGTCCACCAATCGGGTTGCGCGACGAAGAGCGCGAAGAGCTGTTTCCAGACTCGCCATTGGATTTCTCGGAGCGATTGTCTCCGCTCCTATGACGTCACGAGTGCCAGGTTCCCCGTAATTGACGGTACAGTGGGATACCGGACGTACAAGTCTATTTTACAAATTTTACCTGAATTCTAAAATGTTTGCTGTTTGAGACTTGGTTCTCTATTGTACCAAATATAAAAACCTCCGGATCAAACATAACATCAATCCACTGCTGAACGAAAACCACTATTGCAGAAAATAGTGCAACAGAGACGATGCTCGATAAAACCACAGCAGTTAATGCAACCTTAATTGCGTTCGACGAGTATACACGTCACCTTAAAATCAAAACGATACTAATTCTCTTAACCACAAATTATTTATTTCTTCAGACGAACATGTAATTCTTCTTCATTTTGCTTCAGCTTTTCGTTAGAATGTATTATAAGTGTATTTGGCCCTCGTTAGACGAGTATACACTTCATGATTTGATTTCATTGCAAGCAATATCAGAGATTTTTTAAATTAAATTCCACAGTTAACAGGTTAACATTAAACGTACTAGTACTTTATATACAACTATTCCTACCGTGATCAGTCAAATAACTGGTCATAGAATACAGGCAAACAAATTAGACGATACATTTTTCTTAATGAAAACAGAAACAATACAAAACAGAAAGACAAAAATTGAAACACTGATTAATGGGAAATTATAAGAATTGATAGAAAGTTGAATGGGCGAAAGAAAATGCATGAATTTATCCGGTAGTGCGTTTAGTGTTAAATATGATTTAAAAAAAAAGCGCGCAACTTGAGTGGTTCGATGTCCTGCCAACGGTTTGTCAGTAAGTATAGAAAGGGGAGAAGTAGTCAAAGCGTACAATGCGTGCATTCATACGGTTTAATGCTGTACAAATATTTATGCCCGACCGTTCTGCAAGATAATTTCCACCGAATGGAACCATCCGGAGCGTTGATAAATACTTTTTGCCGCGGCAAAATGCTTTTTAAGGATTCAGTATTTCGGTTTAAGCGAGCGTGCTCCATTATTTTCAACGATGCCCGGAGACGGTGCGGCTGGTACTACGGAGGTACATTCGATGGGAATGCAACAGCGGCGCTACTCCTTTTTCCCCTTGTAATTGTTATTAACAGGTTGACTGCCAGTGATATTTTTTGTTGCTAACTGGGACGCTGATATTGATACTTCGAATAACTTTGGTTTAACACTAAAATTACCAGACGAGTCAAAATGACCTATTCCAGATTTCTTCATTTCGCGACTATTAAAAAGATAACAGATGTTTCTCTGAGAAATTATTGAAGACATTAATTTAGCAATACGCAAACAGATTTAGAAATCAATTAAAATCTTAATAGATTCATTCTTGAAGTTTCTGTAGAGGAATTTCAAAAGTCGATTTAACTCGGTAGTTTTAGTGTAAAAATAATAAGCCAATTGAGTATTGAATACTTTTATTTAATTTTAAGAATAGTCTATCACTTTCTTAACATTAAAAGAATACGCTCTGACCGGAGTGAGTGCCAGTTAACTGTTAACGACGAGTGTTATCTGAATGATGAGCATCGAACTGGGAACAGGTTATGTGGTCCTTCTTTTATACTGTTTTTAATGGGGATTGAATAGGTTTCGAAAGTAATTGTTTGACAATTGTTATATAGGGTTGAAGTATGAAGTATATGCATATGTGTATGGACAATCGAAATTGAGTTATAACTGATAGATGTATATTGGTCCTGAGAAATGTTGGTTTCGGTTCTGAGGAACTGATGTATCTAATAACAGTTACAACTTTATTAAGGTTCTCCATAACTGTTTCAAGTACCGGAAACGATATCATAACTGTGTTCAAATTACAAATGAAAAAAACTTTGGCACTTCTGTTCTAAATTAATGATGCAAAAAGTAGATAACATAATAAATTAAACTACACGATTGATAGACATAGTTTTTATTTTTTCAAAAGGTTAATGATCTAAGGTTAAACAGTTTGATACATTACTGTTCAATTGATTGAGAATCTGGAATTAATGTTTCAGATAATTGTCATCTTTCTCAAATGTATGGACGTGTTCCGTAAGCATGTCGCAATTATTTACCAATCGGAAACTGATGGATTGAACTTTAATTTTAATTAAATTCATTTTGAGCTACATTGTTTCATGTTATTGTAATAACTGTTAAAATTACACTCTATTCTCTATTTAATTGTTCGCTCAGAATATCTACTTTCGAAAAAATGGAAAAAAGTACAAATTAAAAAATAAAAAATTTAATTTAAATTTAAATTTAAACACAAATTATTTTCAATTATATATATCGCACACTAAAAGTTTCATTATATTCATAAAAATTTCCCTATCATTCCTTAGATTTTACTGTAATAATACCGTGTAAAATAATTCAGAGAAACAGTAAGATTAATCAAGTGGCTCGAAATAATAATGGTTAGATCTAGGTAAGATTACTTCTGACTTCTCGAAGAAAACTAACTTTTGTAAAATGTTCTGGGATTAATGAAATATTAATATTACAATTACTAATATTAATATCTAATAATAATTAATATTATTTATAACATATTTGTATTACAATTATTAATATTAATAATTAATAGCAATTAATATTATCGATAACATGATAATATTAATATTTCATTGATCTGAGAACATTTCACAGAAACTTTTTTTCTCGAGAACTTAGAAATAGTAGTCGGACCACAATTATTCCGAGCCACTTAATTATGCAAATAGTGCCACTCTCTTACCTCACGACGATTTAAAATGACAGTCTGAATGCAGCCCACGAAGCTAGCGGTGGTCTTCATCTTCGGCGAGTACATGTCCGTTGATGGCGCGCCGCCCAAGTAAAGATTCAAGGGGAGAGACAGTTGCGTGAAAGCTCCTGGCGCCAGGATTTCCTGCGGAGGATCGTCCTCGACCTCGAGGGACGCGAGGCGTCCGGTCCTCGACACCAGCACCTCGACCCATTCGCCGAGCCGCACCGGATTCTCGCTTCTGTAACAACGATCGATACGTGGCCCATCAGTCTCAGGAATTTCGACTGTTTATTAGAAATAATATTTATCTATTTATTAGAGATTATATTTATTTACCCATTTACTAGAAATTATATTTACCTATTTATTAGAAACCATATTTATTTATCTATTTTTTAGAGAGGATAGCCCTTTGTTACAATGTAGCATTTTATACAACAAATTCCAAGAAGACGAAGAAATTAGAAATAATGTACAAAATGATATAGACACTGCAACTTATAGAATTCGATAAGTTCATCGGGACTCTGAGAATTCCAATATATTTATAATTGTTTCTTCAGCACACGATTTCCTTTATTTTATGACTATTTAAATTGTTGCTTGAAATGAAATTTTAATATTAAATTGTAATATGATAAATTTAATATTGGGATTTCGGGAATTTTATTGTACACATTTAAAATTGTTTTGATGGTATGTACAATTTTCCTCATTCTATATATATTTTAAGATCAATCGTGCGAATTTCGGTAGAAGGTACACTTCGGTACTTTATTTGGAATCAATGGAATGCTTGCGTGTAATTGCAATTTGATGAATATAACATCGAAATCGTGGGGAATTTATTATATTTCGAATTGTTTCGATAGTGAACCGTCGTCTTTGTTCTGTGCATATTTAAATATGAGACAATATTGAAGAAGTTTGTTACACACAGCTATAAAAGAGAATTCAATATTTTCAATAATAACAGACGTTCATATTTGGTTGGAGAAGCAATTTGCTTTCCACGGCGATTGTACAAACACGACTAGAAGGGAAAAAGACTACACAAAAATGAGATTTTCGAAGTTTACTTAGACAAAAAATAAATGTGAAATACCGAATTAGAACAATTGAAGAATGTAGATACAGAGGACAAAGGTGCTGGACACTGTAAACGTGGAAAAATGAGAACGTTATGTTGAATAAAAGAGAAGAGCATTTCCTGTAATTATTATGACAAGTGGAAAGAAAAATAGAAGTTCATGGAAGAAAAACAAAGGGGATGGGATGCTAGGTATAACAGGAAGGGACTAGAGAGATAAACGAAATAGTCTGGAAAAGAGAAAAACATCGGAGGAGGATGGAATATAAGATGAAGCTTTAGTGTATACTGAAGCAATAGTAACGCAGAGATTGAAGGAGATTACTGAAACTGTTTAGGAAAAACATACTTTCCATAAGAATGAAGGAAGAATATAATAGTAACAATCTTTAGAAAAACAACTAAAGTAATTAAAATAATTTATAGAAGTATCGTGTTTTTGTCGGCGCTAAATGGGAAAAAAATAATGTTTAGAAGAGGAAATAAAGCTGCGACAATAAATCATAGAAACATTTTGCTTTTCTAAATTGTCAATGCTAAAAATAACACTGTTTAGAGAACAAGGTAAAATAGAGACAAGTGATAAGAATATTGTACTTTCGCAGATTCCAAATATTAAGAGTAACAATACTCAGATAGTGAAATAAAATGCTGACAGTAAGTAACAGAAACAATACAGTTTTGTAGACTTTAAACGAAGAAGATCAACATTTGAAAATTAATATTCATTGTTTCAACAAAATCAAATTCAATATTCAACATCTCAATAAAGTAAAATTTAATATTCATTATTTCAATAAAATAAAATTTAATATTCAATATTACAATGAAGTAAAATTCAATATTCAATCTTTAGAATTTAAAAATAAAATTCACTTTCCATTCTCTAGAAAATTTTAAATAAGATCAAGTATATACGCATCTAACATTTTCACGCGTTCCATCCTAACACCTATTTTCATCAAATAGAAGTTTTCCGAAGTTGTTCCAGTTTCAAAACTCGTTAACCGCAATCATTCCATTTTAAGAATTCACTTGATTTGGATTTATTGAATTCTACTTGAATTAGTTTTAATGCGGGCGGCTAGTAAATCGTCGGGAAAACGGATCGTCGCGGGAAGGATGTAAATATCTCGTTGGAGGAGATATTTATTCCATCGCGGAGCAATATTCCATTCCGGAGCTTTCATCTTCGATATCGTTTCGAGTGATTCCGCCGCTGTTCTTCGCCTGCTTCGCGACCGATCAAGGAAAACTGTCGAGGAATACCGCGGTGGGGCGGGCACGACCGGAAACTCATGGAAATCCTCGATGCCTCAATCCGCGTAATAGCTCGTATTCCCGATAATGGGAGAAAGTACCGACGTATAAGAGTTGCCTTACTATTTATATACAAAGCACCGAGTCTACTGCAACGAATTTAATCTGTATCACCTGCTCGAAGCGATCAAACAATAAAATAATTGTAATGAATTGTGACTATATTCCTGAATCACAAGTGATTTAAAAAAAGTATCATACATTATGTAATAGTAAGCGCAATATACATTGCTATTAATCGTTTGTATTTACATTCGACCTGTAGCCTTTGTTCTTCTATTGTGTTATCTGTAGACGTTTGTAAACGCGACCATTAATAACAGTGAAGTGAACTGTAATTTTATAAATGAATAAAAGAAGGAAAAGATAAATTTAAAGAGTTACGCAATCTAGAACCATAAAGACAGAATTTTTTAAATTCTACTTTATTGAACAACTATTGTTACCAATACTTATTCCCAAATTTTCACTTCGAAAACAATCTTAACTTTCATGTTAATTTTCTTTTCATTCTCCGATAGAAATCAATGTTACAAATATTTTACAACTTGAAAAACATTCCCATGACAACTCCAGGAACTAAGAAATAAAACACCCCAATTAAAAGACTCGAAATATTCAACATACCCTAAGGCTTTCCGTTTCAATTGCCTCTTCGAGTCTCACAAAAGTTGGCGTTATCGTTATTCGATGTTACTTGCGATAACACGGTGGTAAATTTTTCAGCGGAACGAAGTTGTTCCGTAGTAAAGATGGCCGTCAATCTGTTCTTGCTCCGCGTCGGAGAAGGAAGCGTCTGCGCTCCGTAATAAAACCCCGACGGATTGCTCGGCGAGGGTAGCGGAAATCTATAGCCGGGGAAAAACCGGGTAGAATAGAGTCCCGTCGCCGTGATTCCGGTCAAACGTCGTGAATGCGAATGAAGTTTGCTCACGGATAATATTTCGCTGAGGCGGCGGGTACACCGGAAAAGGGGCGGGCCACGTTCGAAGGGAGAGAAAGTCATCTATTGAACGGTCCCCGGAGCCGTTGCGAAGGAAACTTTCCGGAGGAGTGTTGTGTTTCACGTGCGTTTAGCACTAAACGTACCGGCACCTTATACACACCTATTCCTACTCTAAGTGATCAAATAATTGGTTATAAAATAAAGGTAAACAAATTAAACGATGAATTTTTCCTAGTGAAAACAGACACAAAAGGGAAGACAAAATTGAGAAACTGATTGATTGGACAGAAAAAGAATTGATATAAGTGGGCGACAGAAAATGCAGAATATTCAACCAAATTTTGAAACTATTCATTTGATCGATCGTGGTACGTAATGCACGAAGTGTGAAAAATATGTAGCCATACTGAGTAATAAAATGTGAAATGTACTGTGGCTATAATATTTGTAAGGCTTTAAAAACGATTATAAGTAAACGATTGGATTATAAGCAAAAATTACAGTAAAAGCTATTACTAGTTCGAGTAATAATACGCGACTCGATTGACAAATATGTATATTGACTTTTCGACTACGACATTGACAACAATTGAACCACTGACCTCTTCAATCGCGCATGTAGTTCTCCTTATAGCCTAAGACAACCCCCTCCTTGCGCACTTTTTTAAGTAATCTTGGGTTCCGCCTATCTGCAAAGGCCTCTTTCCGTCGCATCATCTTTCTTAACCCATTTCGCTCTAAGGTTACCATGTGGGACATTGCACTTTTCCGCAAATAAATGACAAATCTACAATAATAAAATCTTGCTTAGCAATCCTACTTTTGCATACTACTTATTATTCCTGTTATTACGAACATTTCGACATCAATGTCTATGTCGCAATAAAAAGAAGTGGTTGTGTCATGTTTTTATCGATACGTTAAATTTCGATTTGAGTAAAAACTTGGTCCTTAATGGATAAAATTATGTTAAAAACTATATTATATCCTATAGGATAGTATAAATATCAAGTTATTTAACTGACTTGCGAAATAATTGTCGCATGTTTCTTCAGTTAAATGTTACCGCTTTATGTTGTATTCATAATATAGGCAAGTATTCAGATAATCGTCATTTAGTTGAGCGAATTACAATAATTTAATTTGGCTGCATAAAGTGCACAGGGTATAAAGAAGTGCATACTACATTCAAAGTGTAGCGCTTTTTATAGCATTTAGTAGAAAAATCCTTTTTCTATCGTGTAGTTCTGTTTTTTCAATTATACCCTTAAAAATTTCAATTCACATGAAGATCCGTAATCTGCTCATAAACGAGCCGACAAAAGTTTCCGTATTTATTGAAGTTTTCTTCCCTTACCTGCTATGGACCACGGTTTCAACGAGAGATTTCCAGAGATTAGTGGGTCGAGCGGGGAATGAAGATAATGGCGTTCGGCAGGACGAATGTGACTGAAGTTTGCCGAAGGATATTATTTTGCCGAAATGCCGTCCATCCTTTCGTATCAGACCGAAGCGAATAAAAAAGCGGAGTTTATCGAAGGGTTTCATAAAAAGAGCAAACACGCGCACCCCGTTTCGTCGTATGTAAAGCAGGTGTCGGTCAGCTTTCGAGTTAAATGAATCGAGATTAATTAACGTGAAATATTTTTCCACAGAGAACCGGGGCTTCTGGCGCCAGTTCCAACAAGAAATATAATAATGGTCCATTGTTGCGAACGGTAATTTAATTATCATCTGATCGATAACGACGGACCGCACCACCTTTATTCCCCCTTTCACGGTGTTTATTATACGTGATCGAAGTTTTCTTTGTTTCATGTTCCTATTGTTCGCAGAGAAAGACTGGTTAATATCAGAACCACCGAATAGCTGAAACAGTAGTTTTTTACTACTTTTTTACTTTTTTGTTTATAAAAAAAATTCACTAAAATCATCGATGACGTATGGAGTTGATCATTAGATAAATTAGTAAAATTCATTATTTCAATTCTTTAAAATTGAACTGTCAATGCGTCTGATTGACTTTCAACTGATTGTATGTAGATTAAATTATTTAAAATTAAATAATTTAGTATTATGAAATAAAAAAACTCGATTTCAATCATTTAAAACTATAACCTATTTACGAGACAAATAGAGTAACAAATTACGAGATAGTATTTTCAACATTCGACAAGATTTTTATTATATCGCGCGTAAAAATAGATTGATTTAACAGTTCCTCAATGCCTTTATGGCTCAAGTCGTTTTCATCTGTCTAGAGGCATTAGTGTCAAACAGAAAATCGCGTTGTTAAAAAATAATTTCCACCAGAAGAGAGGAAAATAGAATGATCACGAGGAATCGTGGAAAGTCTCGCATTAATTACAATGAAAAATGTATTTCGATGATCCGTGGACCGCCGGGAAAATGTTTCACATTCCAAATTTTCACGTCAATGTGGTTGAACCATTTATGACGTTTTTTCCAGTAACGAAATCGGCTTTCGAAAGGGAACAAATTTGATTTGTAGTGATGCAGTGGGAAAGTTTATTAATCTTCGTTTCTCAATTATTTGCGTTCAACGTCCTTACACTCGACATTTTATGGCAATTAACACCCTACACTTTTTCATTCTGTCACGCTTCGTTCCATGTTAACGGGAGTGCAGTTAACATTATTTTCAAGTACCATTCACTCACCGGCTCTCTACTTCCGCAATTATAAATCCCCGCTGCTCCATTACGTAGTCGTATTTATTTGAAAAATTCCTAACCCTCTCTTGCGAGAGTTATCGTTACTACCTGCCATAATTTTCCGCGTTTTTTCACAGGGTTTCTCGTTCCGTCAGTTTCGATGATCGAGGGTAGGTATATTTATAAACGTATAATCGATCGTTGTTTGATTAGAGTTTATAGGTCGGCGGGAAAGTTTCACCACGAATGCAGAATTCGTACGAATTCAACATTTTCCGAACCACTTCACTAAATAGGTCCCTGACATCCATAAATGTTATAATCATATTTTTAATAGACACTTGTATTAAATTTAAAAATGAAGTTACGATTTTATCCCCTTGAATTGGATTTATTAAATGTAAATGTTATTTGGGTCACTCGGATTGAGAGAAACATTATGAATGTTTAATATTCACAGTAAATTTATCCATTAGTATATTGATTGCAATTTAAACAGTAATGAGTGTATAATTCCTTTTACTGCTACAGAACTAATGATATTTAATGATTTACCGATCATTTTAAAGCAGTCTTTGCTAGTTCAGCTATGAAACAAATGATGAAAACAAAAGATTGATGTTAACTTTTATTTACTGAACTAATATACTAAGGTACATACTCTCTTACTTGTCAAGATGCAAATATACTCAAGCACGATTCGCGAAAGGATACTGTTCACAGATTCACCGGCATTAAGTTATTGTAAATTTAATCCAGGCTGCTCGTTTGCAAGTTCAAATAAATTCCTTCTCAATTCAGCCTTTTAGCATTCCTAAACTCTTTCTACGCTCAACGTGTTACTTACTCCTTTACATCCAGAATAACATCGTTCTAATTTGTTTACTACAATCTCCACTCTGAATACCTCGAGACTGTTCAAACGTTACATTATTTTAATGAAAACGTCGAGTATCTGCAGGACATAAGGGTTGATCCTAATTTCAGCTCATTCTTGTTTCGTCGGCACAAATTCGCATTGTCCGCTTGTTAAAGCTCTTTAAAATTCCAAAAAGGATCGGGGGAGTCTGCAGAAATCTCTCTAACAGACCGGAAATCCGCACTATCATTTAAGTTTTTCATTATACGTATACTAATTTTATAATATAGAATTAAGATAATATAATACAGAAACAATATAATAATTAATTAATATATTAATATGCACCTAACAATGAACTGAAAATTTCTGTTAGTTCCCCCAAATGATTAATAGTGAAATAAGTTAAAATGAAATAGTAAATTAAATTGTAAATTAATTATAAGTAAATTAAACAACAAATTAACAGTAAAGTAATTCAATTGCAATAGTAAATTAAACAGTACATTAATAATAAAATTAATTAAATTGAAGTATTGAATTAAATAGCAAATTAATAATAAAGTACATTAAATTGAAATATTAAAATAAATAGTAAAGTAGAAATTGGTACGTTACAATAGTTCCGAAAAAGTACCTCCATCTCAGACGAATGAACCAAAAACTAGAGTCAACCTCAAAAAATGGATACGTCACCCGAAGTGTTAACAAGGCAAGCAAGGGAATCGTATCAGAATATTCTCAAAGGTGTCCTGTGGTAGTTTCCCGAGCATCTCACGAATTTCCCTCGGGCAAAGGGTTAATCCTGACATCGAAAATAGAAAAAAATGGAAGCATGGAAGGGGATACTATCGCCGAGGACCTCTCCACGGAGAACGCACCTACTGATTTTCCGTCATGAATATTCAGCGGCTTAATTCGCGACGAGACCGATCGACGCCGATACATCGTTACCGGCGATAGGGACGGATTAAACGATCGGGGTCCGGTTCTTTCGACGCCGGCGTCGGGGCTCGTTAATCGATCGCATCGCGCATAAACTCGTTATACCGCGTTACAAGAGACGTAATCAACGGGATCACGTTCCACACGCGGGCCTCCGATATTTTTATTTTAAATTCAAGCTCCTCCTACGCGCAGTTCCTTTATTTCTCTGACACACTGACTTTTTATATCCACAATTTTTTCTACTTTGAAGAAGTTTTATTGTAAGTTAAATGAGTTTATTCGTGGTTAGTTGTTCGTTTAGATTCATTAAACGCGATGGAGATTAGATTTTACGTGTCAAAACAGTTTTACTTTAAAAAGTTCAAACATTGAAGTTAGGAGTATCGTATTTGATCTGTTGTTTTATGATGAAAATATTTATTAATACGTACAGTTAATTTCTTTGTACTGTAATAGTGAATTGGACTTGTAATGAAAACTCCGAATACAGAGTTAGAAGAAATTAAGTCATCAAGTATTCCGTATTTAATTTCATAAATATAACGTATTGGCACACGAGATATTCTAATGAAATATCTCGATTTCTTAATTTATGTATGTTGAGGCGTTCATATAAACCGTGGCAATAAGCACGTGATGAACAAACGAACATCATCTGAGACGCGTTAGTTCCGGCGTATTTTTCGATTGTTTTCTTATATGTACTTCGCGCACATCTATGGCGTTCCCTCGCGTTAGTCTATAAGTCTGTGTATTGTCGCATGGTCGACCTAATGGTCATCGAGGTTCACCTCCTCATCAATCTTATCAATGTATAATCTCTCTTTACACTGGTCAAAAAAAAACGTTATCAATATTCCATTAGAAGATGATGAATATTTACAGCGCAAAAACTTTTGTCTGCAAAGGGTTAATACAAGAGTACCTAGCCAGAAAATAATTATCCACGATGAAACCGATCACAGGCGAGGCAAAGGGTTGAAACATCATAACCCTCGTTGCATAGCTTCCATAAAAAGTCGAGTAAAGGGGTGATTTCGGTTCCTCTGAGCCACGCCGCAAGCGGCTCTGAACTCGGACCCGACGGGCGGCGAACTTTCAACAAATTAAAATACACTTCCCCCGTCTAATCAAGCGCGAACGAGGTGGGCACGGTTCCGACCGACGACCCACTTCCCTTTTTCACCCCAGTTACCGTATGCGCGTTCCCAATAAAATTACAATATCCGTTCACGTCCCTTATCCGCTCGCCCAGAGGCCAGCATGCAAACGACTCAATTAGAGGCTACGGCACCGGCTCGAAAGGAGTAACGAGGAAATTGAAAGGAAGAGAGGCTGGAAACGGGATTCCTGGCGCGGCGCATTCAACAAAATGGCGGCCAGTCCATCGGTATCGAGTGTCGATTCGGCGGAACATTCCGCTACGAAGAGTCATAAGGTAATTCCGATTGAGATGGTTCAATCTGCATTTAATCTATTCAAGACGAGACTTTCTTTGAAAGATGGTCCTCGGGAGCCGAAACGAAATTATCATTTTCACCATTACTGTTTGTTCGGTGTTGGATAGAACCCAAATTTTATTTAACATTAATTATACCGACACTTTTCCTACCGTAACTAGTCAAATAACTGGCTACAAAATAAAGGTAAATAAGATAGATGATAAGTGTTTTCTAGTGAAAACAGAAACAAAAGGAAAAACAAAAATTGAAGAACTGATCAATCAGATAATACAAGAATTGATGTAAAGTTAAATGAACAAAAGGAAACGCGGAATATGAAATTACATTTCAAAATCAGTTTTGTTAAGCCATCTATCCTTAACTTATCCCAATTGGGTAAAATGTTATCTGATCGTGTATTATCGGCGATGATTCAAATGTAATGTATTAAAATGTAAAATGAAATTGAAGCGGTTACAATAGGCCTTAATTAACCCGGTTACTGCCTATCGAAAATAATTCATTTTCTCTGGAGAATTTCTTTGCGTCTGTTTTATTTATATCACGGATAATAATTAATGATAAACAAATGAACGGAACATCTGATTGCATCAGATCAAACATTAAATTTTAATTACATTTACAAATATTAATATTTCAATTAAAATGTCTAGAAATTTGGAAACGTAACATTGCACAGAATGTACACCTTACGAAGAAATATATAAACTACCAGAAGCACTACAGCTTCTTAGAATGTCCGTTAGAGAATCCTATTAATACTAATAGTGATTTAATTTTTATTATAAATTCTATTATAAGAATAACTCACAAATAAACTAATTCCATTTCTCTAATCATGTTCTTGCACATTCGAATTTGCATTCAGTCTAGCCGACAAATTAAACTTTGCCCAGTCCTGGCCAAAAATAGGGGATTGGACTCACCTCAAGGTGGCTGGGCCCGTTCCCAGGTCGAAGGTGAACTGGACGTGTCCCGAGGACAAGTACAGCGCGATGAAGTCACCGGTCGCGTCGCTGTGGTGGCCGTTGTAAAGTATAACGCCGTCCGCAGCGGTCGGTTTCAGCGTGACAGCCAATTCCAACCAAGATAGCGACGTGTCCGCCAATCCCGGGTAACGGAGATAAGAGGATCCGTTGAACGACGGCACCTGCAAGCCAGAGAATCCATCGGGCAACGGTTATCTCACGGAGCTCCAGATTTTCAGTACGAAAGTTCCGTTGTTCCGAGACGTCCGCGATCGTTCCGCGGCTACGACCGGCTCTTACGTCTTCGCTCATCCCTCAACGGGCTGAAGTGATCGCGCGGTCACGATGGTCGGGGGAATGATCGAATCGTTTCGAGAACCTTTGATATTCTTTTTTCTACTGGTTTTACCGAGATCTATGTAAGGACACGGGCGATTTGTGAAGATGCTTTTGGAACATAGACGCGAAACAATTGATTTGGAATGAAACTTTGTTGAGGGGATTTTTTGGCTGATGCGGTGGGGAGGAGTTTGCGTTTCTTCGTACCTACGTTATTATTTTGGTAAACGGAAGGTATTTGTGAGATGCAAAAATTGAAAAATTGTGAAATCTGGCTTGAAAGAAATTGGGAAATGGAAACATCGAACTTGAATGAAATTAATAAATTAAAACACGCAACTCGAAAGAAATCGATAAATTGAGAAATTTAATATAGAGGAAATTGTGAAATTGAAAAATCTGACTTGAAAGGAACTGATAAATCGAAACATACAATTTAAGAGAAATTGAAAAATTGAAAGAAGTCGAGGGACATTGGAAAACAAAATTCGAGAAAAAATGGAAAAGTTGAAAGCCACAATCCAAGGAAAAATTGAGAAATCGAAAAACATCATTCAAGAAGAAATTGAAAAAGTGAGATCCATCAAAAAATTGTATAATCCCTCCTCCTTCTACAGAATTGCGAAGCCGCCATCGATTGACCTTACTTTCACCCTCTCTCGGAGTTATCTCGCCGCGTCAATTTCCGAAAATGACGTAGTTACCGAACAGGAAGACCGTTTCTCGCGAGCCGGGCCATGGGATACAGCCACTAAATTAAAGCGGGCGTGTTTTCACGGCGATCGTGTGCGCGCCGCGTTATATCTTCACATAAATTCCAGTGGCGCGGAGTCCGCGAACTGGAGGAAGAAGAAACGCGTGTGTAGGTGTATATATAGAACGGCGAGAAAGGTAAGACGAACGGGAACAAGTATAACACGGCGGTGGAGTGATAAAAATAAAATTGTATCCTCGCACAGGGGGTTCGAGGCGGGGATAAACCGGAAATCCAGTGCCATCGGCGAATGATGAATATTCTTATCCGAACATCGCGTTTTATTGCTTTAAGATGAAATTCCGGTTGCAGCCAGTACTGGCATTAGGATTTCTTTTTTTTTGGAATGGAAACGTGATCGATAGAGTTCGCAGTTCATCTTCAGAACTTTCAAGAATCGTAAAAATGTATAAAGATACGTAGTCTAGTAATTAGATTTCAGGGAATTGAAAATCTTTTGTAATTCCATTAAATGTGATTTGAATGAACATTTTAGAAGTTTCTGAAGATTTATGTTTCGTAAAGATCCGCAGCCTATTAACCCTTAACAGTTGACAACTTTCTGTTAACTCTTTGCAGACGAAACTGTCTTATTCTTTTAACATTTCTGTTCATAAAAAACTTATTTATGTAACGAAGTTTTAAGTATTAAAAGAAAAAAAGTCACATGTCAGTTCCTGGTTAGTTGAATAATTAAATTATTCATTTACAGTTTTTGATTTTGAATATCCAAGCTCGATGTCGCCCTTACAACAATATTCGACCGTAAAGGGTTAATGATCTTATAATCTGAAGAATTATATTAACCCTTTTTGAACGAATATTTTTGAATCTATTAAAATCCTTTTTTATAAAACGCTGGTCTTATTTAAATAGTAAAACTGCTTGCAACTTTAGGATCTAGATACAACAATCTAATACAATATTGCGACATTCATCTTCAAAAGATTCATGATCCATCAAATTTTATAGACCGTATAAATTCAAACGTCAATCGCAAATGAACAAAAGCAACAAAATATTTTCAGTCAGATTAAATAATAAATTTCGATCTGAAACATTCCCGGAGCTCATTAACGTTTCTCAAATGGCCTGCAGCGAAAGAGCATTAAGAAAAGCGAGTGCAAAAAGAAATTAAAACGATAGATCGCGGGCATAAAGGAGCAGAATGAAGTAGGAAGAAGGAAAAGGCTGAAAAGCGAAAAAAGAAGCGTGAACGATATCAATTCTAGGTGGTACAGCCGGCAGCATCAAATTTATTCTGCAAGTATACTGGAAGTAATATTCGTCAACAGGCGAACATCAATTTTATAGGACGCGGCTATTGATGAACGGAGCTTCTAAATTATTAGGCTATCCTATAGATAATGTCAGATTTCATGTTAACTTCTGGTGTAGAAAATTAATATAATATTTACGTTGTTTTAATTGTCGACGTATCGATCACCATTATGCAGGAAAGAGTAAAAACGGAATGGTCAGGTAAAACGGAACAGTAATGTTTTTCATACATAAAGAGCTCGTATCGCATGACATGGTTCTAGGAAGTCCTCGATGTAGTTTGAATGATCTAGTAAAAAGTGAAATTCGGTACGAAAAAATTGCAATGTATTAGGCTTGACTCACTCTACATACACACAAAGTTTCATCATTTTAATTTCCGAGTTCGATACCTTTCCTTGTTAGTCAATTCAGCAATAGTGCAACATAATAACTGCGGCACCAAATCATTAATAATTGCTTCCAATGCCACTTATCTTCACTATATTATAAGAATAAATTATATGTATACAGAAAGCTGAAAATCCCCGTGACAGTCAACGCATTAATGTTTCCGACGCCGGTTATAATCGATATCGTCACGGATCCGCCCATAATCCGGCGTGCATATCGACGTACACGCGAAGTGCCGTCCGCGGATGAGAGGACAAATTGATCGGCGCCGCGTCTTCATGCCCGCTCGAACGTGTCAAAATTGCGATCACTGAAAAAGGAAGAGGCCGCAATGAGGAACGATTATCTGGGGAATGAGAAGCATCGCGAAAATCACGTTAATTCCGATACGAGCCGCGTTCTCGACGATTTCACGCACTCGATGATCACTCGGCTGAGGAACCTTCCGTGCCTAACGTTTCGAAATTCCAATATAGCCGGCGGAGCGTAATTAAGTGGCGCGAGCGCGATTTTTATGGACTTTTTAAATGATTCTCCTCTCGTTACACTCGGCGTATTAAGAGACTGAAACTGAACCTTTTGGAAAAGAGGGAATATTTGATGGATTCGCCGGAACTTTTACATTTTTACTATTGCCGCGCGACTTTCGAGATTCATTAATGCTCTGTAGAGTCCGGGAGATGAAAGATGATGGATTAATCCGAAGGAAATACAGAATTTTTGTTATATGCATTTATGTACCATTTTTGTTACTTTTTCTGTTTGTATTATTAAATACTATTTAAGTATTTTCTAATAGCATTATTAAATACTACTCAAAATATTTTCTAATCGTGTCATTGAATCAAGTATTTTATTTTTATCGAATACTATTAAGTGTAACTCAATGTATATTTTGTTAAGCTTCTCATTTTTGTAACAGATGGCAGGATATTATTAAATTAATCTGAATTCTTCATCCTGTAGCGATGAATATTAAATTGATATTAGATTCAAGTACCAAATGTTAAAATATCAAATATTAGTACACTCGAAACATTTTCTTGCAGATTAAAAAGATTTCGTGAATTTCGATACTACGTGGAAAAACGTATCGGTGAGCCAAAGTTTCTTGAAAAATTTCAAGAGGAGCCGGTTAATCATCGTCGGTTTTTTCTTTGTTCCCGTGGTACGAATAACTGTCTTTCCCGGTGAACCGGAACTTCCTTTAAACTCGTCCGACAAACAGCCGCAAAGGACCAGAGTTAAGAAGTGTCACTTGAAACTCAAACTCGTTCTCGATCTACGGAGTACCTGTTTGCCTCCCCTTTAATTCCATATAATACACACTCCCGGCGATTCAATCGAAATTTTCTGAAAGCTTTATCGGGTCAGAGACTTCGAAAGCCCGTTACACGCTGTTACGACCCATTCGCTCCGACATGAAGGTCCAGAACGCGAAGTTTCTGGAATCGCAAATGCGACCACCGCAATTTGATTAATACGCGCCACGTCGAGTTCCGTTCGCGAACTTAACGTTTGGGGCGAGTGGTGCTGACTGATTTTCAGTTTGCATCACATCGTAACAAACGTATAAATATTGAAGAAACACGTTCGTTGGTTGTGCATTACTGAACTTTACCACATTGCCCAAATAATTACCTAATGTGCATATTAATAGTATACTAGTTGAATTACATAGAAGTTAATACTCGATCGAAAGAAAAACATTCATTTGTAACTTTGATACAAAATTTGAAGAGTGAGGAATATCTGGTTAGAACCTCTTTACGAAAAAACAAATTTCTACTAATATTTGTTCTATACCTATGTGGCAAAGGGATTTTCCGTTAATTTAAAAAAATATCTTATTATTCATCTGGTGAAACTCTGCTAGGACATTATTACCTCTATTTAAACATCCACGATTCAATAATAATTAATTACAAAATAACACTAATCTTATGTATTCTATAAATTATACTCCTATATAACTACACACTTATGAACAGCAAAATATTTTTCAGTCAAGGAAAAGACGTTCGGAGCAACACATTTTTCTTGAATTTCATTACTTAATGTCCCATCAGCATTCAATTTCTTGCCACGAATTAATATTTTTGAGGAATCCCATAAGACAGTTCCCATTTTTTCGCAACGTCACTTTTACCACGGCAAGAAAACCGAGACCTGATGGCAGTGGTTGTTCGTCACATCGGTGAAACACGATAAGCAAAGTTGGAGATGTTTTCCATGGCGTCACCGCGAGAAAATGCCTTTCCCTGAACCTGTGGGATCCTCCGGGGTAGTGGTCTCTTTCGCATAATACGGGGTCACTTTCTTGCGGGGACCCACGGGATCAGGTTATCACCAGGATGTCGCCTTTGCTCCCCAGAAAAGGAAAAGAGGACAACGTTGTGTCCGGGGGTCATAAGCATCGAGACGAAGTATGCTCCGGGTCCTGGTCACACCTCATAAAACTTTTCAGGGAGCGCTCGGCCACATGGATTCAATCATCTTCCCCGTCCTCTCGATTTTTACTATCCTCCTAAGATTAAGCTCCTCCTTCCTTCACCGGAAAGTTATCTTTTTCAATAATCCTATTCTTCTCGAAACAGGTCACAAAATTGTAATCTTGTCGAGGCTAAAGAGCTTCATTTTATAGCGAGAAAGTTTCTGTTCTTGAGGAATACGACGAGTTTTGGAGACTTGGAAATAAAATTTCGTTATTTTGGAAAGTTTGTAAAAGATCTAGATGTATGTTTAGATTTTCTTAAAATATAGAACTGAAATATTCTCTTTAGGTACATGATTTTTTGATACTATAATCTTTTGTGAAGTATAGACTGTGAAGTCTTATAATGCTTATGACTCATGAAACTGTTTAATGTATAAAGAACTAAGAATTATAACAAAGTCATATACAGTATAACTTTATCCTCGTTCTAATGAAGTAATTATTATGAAAGGTTTTATATTATATTGAAAATATTCAGTGATAAAATTGAAAAATTAACAGTAGAACTATCAAATAGAATAAAGTAACTTAAAAATTAAGAAGTAATTAAATAAATCAATTTAAATACACTCAAACTAAATACAACCGAATTAAAATCTGCAATAAATGTATTCTTACAATTTTCATAAAAAATTAGAACTCACTCGACTTTACTACCAGAGATAGTTCTATTGTTAATCGTGAGTAACATTTCAATATTCACCTGCAAATCCACTCTGGTTTCGCATAGGTCACCGGTGTATCCGAGAGGGCAGAGGCAAACGGCCGTGTCACCGCCGGTAGTCAAGCATTTCCCGCCATGGGAACAGGGAACCTTGCTGCACCTGTCCGCGGTGCATTCCTCTGCAACCACAATAATAAATCAATCGTATCAGTCCCCTCCTCGTTGGCCGATACGGTAAGATATCGCAGAGCTCGGACGAAAATCGAGCCACCCCGATAAAACGAAACGGTCGGCCGGTCACTGATTCACGTGGATTCACCGATTCGAGAAACATCGATCCTCTTCCTTCAGTTTTTCACGCTCGGCGAATAGCGTCGGATAAATATTCCATGAAAATACCGTGGCTTTTGTCCTGCTCCCCAGATATCGGAAATCGAATGCAGTGCGAAACTTTCGGATCGATGAGGAAAAATACGTCAGTTTTACGGATACATACATCAGTCGAGTTAAATATGACGTTTTGTTGGTGTCTTTTCTTACTCTTTTCATTTTTTTGGATAGTCGTTATGGAAAGGGTATTAAATTATTGTGCAAGATTTTAATGAAATGAATAATGTTATACAATTTTTTGTATAACTATATTGTATAATTTTGAATGAAGTGGATACTGTTAGGCTATTTTTTAATTAAATAAATAAAACAGTAAAACCGGTCTTCAAGTAAATGATACCTCTTCAATTGTGCCCTACAAACTTAGAAACTGGTAGAAATGAATCCTAATTAAAGGATCTTTCATATTTAAGTTAAATCAAAATATGTTAAGTTTGCCTATATGCTGATTAATCAACTTAATTAAAAAACCTAAGGAGAATTAGTTTTAATAAAGTTTTTCTTTGTTCACTACTTCTGAATATCATCAACATACAAATGACAATAATTTATCCTTTTTGTATTGAATATAACTTTTCATTTTAATGTTATTGGTATACCATCTATAAATGCTATAATAATAAATTATAATACTGCTTTACCCCGTCGATTCGATATTACATTTGATGTATTTGATGCGGTCGCGATGCTTCGTTGTGAATCTACGAGGTAGAATCGAAGTCTCTTTCAATACACAAGCAGTTTGAAAAATCGAACCTCCGGTTGTAGAGCTCCTGATGGATGAAACGCTCGTTGGTTCGTGCTGTGTGACCGCTTTTGGCGCAGTTTTTTGTCGGGGAGCGAGTTCAATTTTTCAAATTCGATGCTCGAAGAAGGAGAAGTTTGAAACGGAGACGGTTAGCCCGATTGCATCGTGCAATCAAATGCGCTTCGAGTGTACAATCCGCTTTTGGGCTGCACATGAGCTAAACGAGATTGACTGGAGTACAGAAATAAAAATAACCGGCACTCTAAGTACAATATATTATTAATATACTTATTTAAAACTGTAAATATATATATATTTATTATAGTTATTTATATTATAGTATAAAAATTGATTAAAAGTTTTTATATATTTTATGAATACAATAAGAATTATTTTAATTCTCTAATTTATAATAAAGAGTCATATTCCTAATGTGAATTGTAATCTGACAAAGTGTATTGATTACACGTCACACAAAGGGTAATTGCATTCCTATACAATTAATGTTCATTGTCTATAGGAAATATTCATTTGCAATTAATAGCTCGAGATTAGGATTCACGATTAATAAGGGAGAATCTCATGGTACATTGATATAATAACATTTCTGTGGTCAATGTTTCTATAAACTGTTCGCGTCCCATTTTGGTATGTTTTATCAAATATTCTAAGATTATTATATTCCCTTTTTATTAATTTAGGGATATCTTACTTTGCAATTCACTAATACTATGCGTTTCTATTTTTGGCCAATGTTGCACATTTAAAAAAGGGTGAACCTGTAATACGCTTTATATAACTTCAGGCAGGATTACGTATGTAGTTTAATAAATGAAACTGGAAACGAGAATTTTGGATAGTTTTGGCACTGTTCAACAAATTTCAAAGTAAACGACACGAGGCTGCATCCCAAGGGCCATAACACATACAACGAGCAGTTTTCTAGAGGGAATGTTTCGTCTACTTTGTGAAATTTAATTTACGACGCCCGTACGCTCCGATAATTTTGGGACACGAGTGAAATTTACCAGGCACCAGTTTATCAAATTTCACCGCGTCAAATCTAGCCGTTGCTTTTTAACACATTGAACACTACTATCTCTATTAAGAGGAATGTTCTCGAGTTAACACCTCTGTTGCAGTTTCAAAATAAAGTTAAGCCTTTAATGAATCAAATAAAGCGTCGAATGTAAAATATAAAATGAACGTTTCATTGCAAACATTATTTAGCCATAGTAATGAAAAGGTACTTAATTATAATTAATCTTTTATAGCATAAAATTCTAGAGACCCAAATATTTCTCTTCAGTCACACATTATAAAGTACTACCCAAAAAGCGTGAACCTTTTTTATTTTCAAGAAAGTTTTTTCCATTATTACCATTTCTTTCAATTATTTTTCTAAATAATCTATAATACTGTGACAAATTTTTCGATGTTACTAATATTCTATTTACACCAAAAAGCTACAAATTTTTTATCACAAACGTTCATTAATATATTCATTGTCTTAAAAGCCGCTTAAACGTAGCAATAAGAATCTGAATAAAACTGACAAAGCTTCCCAACAATATAAAAATACATCGATAATGCGGTTTATACACCTATGTATCCATATAAGTTAAAAAAATCGGGTTAATGCAAACTTTGAGATAAAAATGTGGTACACGTCTGCGACGCACAGGTGATGCATTCGAAAATGTATTTCTGACGAAATAAAATTCAAAACGTCGGGCGTAACGGCTGGTAGTCGCGGGAACGGAAGCTTCCGGCGGAAAAGGATGGTATCCGGTTTTCGTACCGATTCAGTATTATGTTGATACAACGCGGAAGCGATTACTTTCGGAATACCTTGATTTACCACGTCGGAAAATTAATCCTTTATATCTTTGTATTTTTGTTTTCTCGTTTTGAAGCTTGTTACAACTGAAGCTTGTTAACATGTTACTTAATGATAATTTAATATGGTACTTTAACACGTTGAATAACTCCATTGATTTTACAGAGCAAAATACAAATTATAAATAATTCAATTTAGTTATGCGTCACCGGTGACAAGACATTCTACGTGTTAATCATTTATTCAGAAACATTTAGGGAGCACTGAAATTGTACCTTCATGTAGGTCGTCTCATAAGTTCGTGCCGTTTATTTTTCTACCATATAAGATAATATTTTATTAAATATAAAATTAAATTAAATATATGGAACTTTGAATGTCGAGTCGATTAGTTGACGTTGGGCGGCGAAAGGTTAAAGGTGAGTTTCTCGTCGTGGCCGTCGCGCGGAAGAGACGCCTTCAATTCGGTCCTCCTTAAGACGACCGATCAATATGAGTCAAGGTAAGCCCCGTGTACTCGAAATGGTTCGCTTTCGGAAGCTACTTACAGCTTCTTTTCACCGGCTTTCTAGCCAAGTCCCGACTGCTCCCTCGTGAATCCAACGGAGTACTACGTATTCTACTTTCGCATGAGCGGAAAGGTGAAAACCCTACCCCAACGAATTTACTTGAATCTTCGCGATCGTAAAAACACGCCGACGATATCGTCGATTTTTTGGGCCTGAACGTGCCCTTTGTGGCATTCTGTTCGCGAAAAGTGTATGTAGTTTGTTGAAAATATCTCTTATTTGGGTATTAAAAGAATCATAATATTTATTATTTAAGGGTTGAAAGATCACGATCAAAATTCTCGAGTTCTTTCGTAACAAAATTTTTGACAACATCAATTTTTACATAATTGTAGTATTTAGGACTTTTAGCATAGCTTACGATATTTTTTTAAAGCGTGAATGCGAGAGTGAGTGTGAGTGAAGGGTAATAAAAGAGGAAAGCCAAGTCCAAGGTTTCCAGTTTGACTTTGAAGGCGTGTGTTTGACAGTTTGTGGAGAGTGTAAATGAAAAGAAGAGAAAAGAATGATTTTTGAGTGTGAATGTCCGAAAGAAAGTCTGTGCAGAAAGAGTCGTGTGTTGGCCTTCGTGGCAGGAATTTGTGTGTCGTTATTATATAGTTCTTTATATTTGAACATTACTTATTGTATTATTAATAAACGTGGTTATTTATTAGAGTTTCCTATATTCTCATATATTACTCCCAATTCACATATATATACACTATGTTCGGGTCGATTTGTACGGGGTTTATGGCAGGGTTTAGAAGCACAGCTATTTTTGAGAATTCGTTAATTTAGTTTTTTTTTGCCATCTGGACGACACTCGCCGGGTGGTACGCTCTTTACAATTTTTACTCTTTTGTCATAGCATTTGTAGATACCCTTAGTTTCTTGCACGTATTTTTCGTTCGTCTCAATAGTTATTGCCCTGCTGTAAACCTTCACGGCCTGAGCATGTCAGCAAGAACCATGGGTCACCCAACGGTTTCCGCGGCCGATGCAGGGTCAGGAAACCGTCTCTGGTGTTGACCAGATGTGTCGCCCACCACCGCCGAATTCTAGCGTCTCTCCCCCCTTGGAAAATCTCGCGACCCCTTCCTCAAGGAAACACGCCGAGGGCGTAAAGGAAGGTGTCTTCTAACCTAGGTTCGCTGATTGGACTTTTTCAAAAATTGGAAGAACCAATCAGTGGACAATTGCAAATTCCAAGGGGGAGCTGAGAAACACTCGCGAGTTCAAAATTCATTCGCATAGGAACCACCGACTAGGAGAGTCACATTTAGAAAACTTGTAACCCGACTAAGTTGTTCAAATACAGTCCACTCTTTTCGCTAAGTCGCGATTTCTAAATCATTCACGGGATAGACCGCGACCCCAACATACTATAAACTTAATATTCCTTTGGTAACAATCGAAAATATATTATTTTTTAAGATAGCTATTGTAGCTCACTGCTGAAAACTTAACACTAAAACTACGGAGCAGTTAAATCGACTTTTTGAAATTTCACCATAGAAGCTCCAAGAGTGTATCTATTGGTACTTTAATTGATTTATAATTCAGTTTGCTCATTACGAAATCAATTTCTTTAATAACTTCTCAGAAGAATACCTGATATGTTTAAATTATTAAAAATCGCAAAAAGAAGAA